TTGTTTATTGTTGGTTTTAGGTGGCGTGGGTGAGGGCTGAGGATCAGACTATTCTCAGTCTGCATACGAAAGTGGTGACGCACAATTCGCGCATCACCGTCACGCACGACAACCTGCAGACGTGGCATTTGCGTATCCGACAGCTGAAAGAGTCCGACCGCGGCTGCTACATGTGTCAAGTTAACACGAACATCATGAAAATGCAGCAGGGGTGTCTCGACGTGCATGGTAAGCTAATTTATTACAATATATTTTTTATTTTTTACAAACAAAACAGATAAAAACAAAAAATAGAAAAAATGCAAAAAAAAATGATTTTTTGATATTTTTTATATTGTTTGTAATATTTGACAACACTCGACACTTCATTATTTGACAATTGAGTAAAAATTTCAGATCAATTTGTTTTTTATTTAAATAAAATAAATTGTAATTTAAAACTGTTCAAAATTAACATAGGTGTTATTACGTGGAGGCGCCGGGAACAAATTTATTCTGTACTGCTAAATTTAGTCCGACACTATATTAAAAAATATAGCAATCATGTCAGCATGCTATTTTGTCCTTCCTATTTGTTCACTTGTTCATTTATCCACAGAAAAAAATTATTACCTATGTTTTGCCTGCAATTAACAAACAACGAGTGCTTATCTACGCGTGTAGATACTTAAATAATCAATAATAGCGTGTCAGCTGATGTGTTCTACATATTAAACTAAATTTTACATCAGTCGTGTTTTTCCATCGCGTTATTTACGATCAACTTAAAATTTATAATTATTCATCGATGAATATTTCAGTTTTCTTGTGTTTTTTTTTTGTTTTGCGTTTTTCTAAAGTGTTTTCTGAAGTTTCTTGCGCTTAATATTGGCTTCAATAATAACTAACTACTTATGAGTACGTCTATTATATGCATAAAATATTCATTGGAAGTTATGAGTGCGAGTACCAGTACGAGTACTATTAGTGCTTTTAGTGCAGCTCATCAATTACACCCAGATCGATCAAAAGTAAACAAAATTTATGAGCGTGTAGTTCAACGCTTGCATTCAGTTTATATAGCCTCAATTTTATTCACACTACTTTTTAAATACATAAATAATTTATTTTTATAAATTTTTTTACATTTTCTTTTGAAAATTTGAGTTTTTTTTCTAAATTTTGCTGAAAATGAAGAAAAAAATTATTTATGTCGTCGCAGAAAATTTTATATACCTTTAATTTTATTTACAAGATAGTTTTTCTAAATAAACAATTATTTGTTGTATTTATTTTTAATTGGTCTTGAAAAAATTTAATTTTTTTCTAAAATTTGGCAAAAAAACTTTTAAAAAATTAAAAAAAAAATTTTTACTAAAAGATGACATCATAGGTTAAGTAAACAGTATCCTCATACAACCAATCAAAAAAAAGTGCGTTAATTTAACCTATCTACCAAGTAAAATAATTAAATTCCAATTCTTTGCCAGCGTTCGGAAACTAATTACTTTCAGTCACGCAGACTGACACATCGAGTTGCATGGTGATTGTATCGATGGATTTAATAACATATCGCTACTAGTAGCCTACTTTCAACATGCATATTTGTACATTGTACATATTCTGCATTCAGAATTAAACAGACTAGTTGAACAACTCGTAAAACTAGTTTAACTAATCAATAATGCAAAATTTAAAGAATTTGATCTAAAAATAAAAATTTATTAAAATTAATTATTAATTTATATAATATATATATAATAATATATAATATAATATATATAATATATATATAATATAATTATTAATATATATAAATTAATAAAATTAATTATTGAAAAGGTGTAAAATAAATTGACAGCGTTCAAAAATAATATTTGAGAGTGTCGCCACATGAGTATCAGTTTTAGTATCGAACTATTCCGAAGAAGTAGTAGGAATATCGCGCGCGCCCTGCGCCTCCACCATCCAATTTCATTTGCGCAAAATGAGCACGTGCACGTGCCGCCATCATGCAGTGTGTGCAACGCCGAATTGATTAAACAATATGAACACAATACACAATGCAGTTGTGCCTTAACTATTTTAAATTAAGAAGGAAACATAATTTTAAAAATTCAAAAAAAAGTTTTTTTTTCTTTTTCGAAGAGAAAAAGGATTTGACGTCTTAAAATAAAGAATTATTGGATACAAGTGGAGATGATTTTGTCCTTCCTATTTGTTCATTTGTTCATTTATCCACAGAAAAAAATTATTACCTATGTTTTGCCTGCAATTAACAAACAACGAGTGCTTATCTACCCGTGTAGATACTTAAATAATCAATAATAGCGTGTCAGCTGATGTGTTCTACATATTAAACTAAATTTTACATCAGTCGTGTTTTTCCATCGCGTTATTTACGATCAACTTAATATTTATAATTATTCATTGATGAATATTTCAATTTTCTTGTGTTTTTTTGTGTTTTGTGTTTTTCTAAAGTGTTTTCTGAAGTTTCTTGCGCTCAATATTGGCTTCAATAATAACTAACTACTTATGAGTACGTCTATTATATGCATAAAATATTCATTGGAAGTTATGAGTGCGAGTACTAGTACGAGTACTATTAGTGCTTTTAGTGCAGCTCATCAATTACACCCAGATCGATCAAAAGTAAACAAAATTTATGAGCGTGTAGTTCAACGCTTGCATTTAGTTTATATAGCCTCAATTTTATTCACACGACTACTTTTAAATACATAAATAATTTATTTTATAATATTTTTTTACTTTTTTTTGAAAATTTGAGATTTTTTGTAAATTTGACGAAAAATGAAGAAAAAAATTATTTACTCAAGTATGACGTCATAGATAAATTAATATACCTTTAATTTTATTTATAAAACTATTTTGTTTTATAAACAATTATTTGTTATATTTATTTTTAATTTTTCTTGAAAAAATTTAATTTTTTAAAAATTTTTCCAAAAAACTTTAAAAAATTAAAAAATATATTTTTTGCTAAAAGATAAGATCATAGGCTAAGTAAACTCTAGCTTCATATAACCAATCAAAAAAGTGCGTTAATTTAGTCTATCTAATAAGTAAAATAATTAAATTCAAATTTCTTTGACAGCGTTCGGAACCTAATTACTTTCAGTCACGCAGACTGACGCATCGAGTTGCATGGTGATTGTATCGATGGATTTAATAACATATCGCTACCAGTAGCCTACTTTCAACATGCATATTTGTACATTGTACATATTCTGCATTCAGAATTAAACAGACTAGTTGAACAACTCGTAAAACTAGTTTAACTAATCAATAATGCAAAATTTAAAATTTGATCTAAAAATAAAATTTATTAAAATTAATTATTAATTTATATAATATATATATAATAATATATAATATAATATATATAATATATATATAATATAATTATTATATATAAATTAATAAAATTAATTATTGAAAGGTGTAAAATAAATTGAAAGCGTTCAAAAATAATATTTGAGAGTGTCGCCACATGAGTATCAGTTTTAGTATCGAACTATTCCGAAGAAGTAGTAGGAAAATCGCGCGCGCCGCGCCTCCACCATCCAATTTCATTTGCGCAAAATGAGCACGTGCACGTGCCGCCAATGCAGTGTGTGCAACGCCGAATTGATTAAATAATATTTACACAATACACAATGCAGTTGTGCCTTAACTATTTTAAAATAAGCAGAAAACTTGACATAATTTTCAAAATTTGAAAAAATTATTTTTTGTTTTTTTAAGAAGGAATAGACGTCTTAAAATAAAGAATTATTGGATACAAGTAGAGTTGTTGAGTGCTTTAGGGTCTGCAAGATCGATACCTCTTAATTTAGGTCCACAAACCGAACATTCAACGGGTTGAGACCCTTTTGAAGGTCCGAAATCAATAATAACACTCCGGGGCGCTACATTCAATTAATGATAAAGGTAAACACTCAAATGCTGATAGTGGTTGAAGTAGGTAAGCACAACTTTGCTTTCTTTGGTTTCTATAATATTATCTGTAGATTTCTTCTCAAACAACCAATTTTTTCTTCTAAATTTTTCTATTTTTTATGTTTTTATATAACGGTGTGATAATAGCAAACAGAAATGTGTAAATTTATGCAGCAAACAGACATAAATAGAAACTATACGCACATGGTCCCTTAATTTAACCCTTTGACGACTTGCCTAATGTTTGCACATTCGCATGCGCTGTATGTGTGCTCCTTCTTGGTTGATTTGCGTTTCGGGCGAGGGCGTTTTGAAATTAGCTTACACTCTACGCCGACGGCGGTGGCGAAACGTCAACAGTGAAATATCGTGTGCGGCGCTGATAATTCACGCTAAACGAAACGCCGCCTCCGGCCGTAGTGGCTGCGAGCATGTATTATTTATACGCGCGCCACAGTCGCGCGCCTCGCGGCCTCACACTGGTGACGCTTTCGTGACGTTTTCTTAACACACCCGCATGCATTTGCAATGCTAATCTTTTCTAAATGGAGCGTTCTAGTGTGCATAATTGTTATGATGATTGTCATTCGCATATTTTTTTTTTTAATTTAAAATTAATTTTTTTTTTTGAAAATTTTTTTGGATGTTTAATAGTTGATTATTTACGTTATTATTGTATCTTGAGGCATCTGAGGGGACTTGATTGAATGTCGTTTGGGATGTGGTGTGTGCGTGTAATAAAGTAATTGAAATCGTCGGCGGGGGCGGCGGACGCGCGCGCGTTTTGTTATTACATGGGCGAAGCGAATCGATAAATTGCAATTACCGTTGTTTCGTCCTTGCTCGTCCACTCCCCGGGCCGGGTTCAGGTGTGTACTCACCCCTATAATCGAATTGCGATAAGGCGGAAACGACCAAAAGGGGACATAATAATTTTGTCCAACTTTACTTCTAATTGAACCAAGAATACGCTAAAAATAAGAAGTTTTTCAAAAAATTTGCCAAAAACGGCAAAAAATTAAGTAAGAAAAGCTGTGAGTACATAATACAAACAATTTTGGGGAATTTTTAAATTAGATACTAATAAATATCTGAATTTCCGTTTTTTTTTGCAAAAAATTCGCAAAAAACAAAAATTTTGTGAAAATTTAGAAAAAAAAAATTTTTATTTGTTTTATGCGCAAATTTACCATATATTTAAACTTATACTTTAATCACAGAAAAATCGTTAATTTTCCGGTTTTTGCTTTTCCTGCATTTGCAAAAAATAAGATTTTTTTCGAAAA